GAAGTGTAGAAAAAGACCTTACAAAGCAACCTTATGATGATGATGATAGAGGTCCTTAAAGAAGTGGAAATATCCCTTAAAGAAATTGAGGAAAAGACAAACAAAAAATTGGAGGAAATAAATAAGAGAAAGCCAAGAAAAAAAACAGTTGAGGAAATGAATAAAACTGTTCAAGACCTGAAAATGGAAATAGGAGCAATAAAGAAAACACAAATTGAGGGAATTCTGGAAATAAAAATCTAGGTAAGCAAACAGGAACTACATACACAAGCATCACCAACAGAATACAAGAGGTAGAAGAGAAAATGTCAGCTTTTAAAGGTATGCTATAAGAAACTTCAAAAATGTTTAATTTAAAATAATTCCTGACACAAGACATCTGGGAAATCTGGAATACTATGAAAAGACCAAACTTAAGAATGGTAGGAATAGAAGAAGGAGAAGAATCCCAGTTCAAAAGCCTACAAAATATTTTCAACAGTATCATAGAAGAAAAATTTCTTAACCTAAAAAGGAGATTCTGATAAAAGTACAAGAAGCTTACAGAACACCAAATAGATTGAAACAGAAAAGAATGTCTCATCACATAACAATCAAAATACTGAATATACAGAACAAAGAACAAATATTAAAAGCTGCAAGTAAAAAAGAGCAAGTAACATATAAAGGTAGACCCATTAGATTTTTATTGACTTCTCAATGAAGACTCTAAAACCAGAAGGGCCTGAACAGATTTCTTTCAGAGTATAAAAGACCACAGATGCCAGCCCAGACTACTATACCCAGTAACACTTCCAATGACCATTGATGGAGAAAACAATATTCCATGAAAAAATCAAAATCAAACAATATCTACTACAGCTCTATACAATATACTAGAAGGAAAACTCTTAACACAAGGAGGTTAACTACACTCATGAAAACATAGGAAATAAATAATGTCATACCAGCAAAGCCAAAAGAAGGGACAGACAGTCTCTCTCTCTCTCTCTCTCTCTCTCTCTCTCTCTCTCTCTCTCTCTCTCTCTCTCTCTCTCTCTCTCTCTCTCTCTCTCTCTCTCTCTCTCTCTCTCACACACACACACACACACACACACACACTCCAAACCACCACCACCATGAACAACAACATCAATAACAGGAATTAACAATCATTGGGTCATTGGTAGCTCTAAATATCAATGGATTAAATTCCCAACAAATAGACACAGACTAGCAGAATGGATATGAAAACAGAATCCATCTTTCTGCTGAATACAAGGAACACACCTCAATATCAAAGATATTTACCTCAGAGTAAAGGGTTGGAAAAGTATATTCCAAGCAAATGGACCTAAAATTCAAGCTGGGGTAGCCATTCAAAAATCTAACAAAATAGATTTCAAATCAAAATTAATCAAAAGAGGTAGACTGAATTCCAATATTTTGGAACCACAGTATTATTTTCCATAGTGGCTATTATAAATAAAGCAGCAATGAACATGGTTGAGCAAGTGTCTTTGTGGTAGGATGTAGCATCCTTTTGGTATATGCCTAAAAATGATGAAGCTGAATATTAAGTCAGATCAATTCCTAGCTTTGTGAGGAATGACCACACTGATTTCCATAGTTGCTGTACAAATTGGAACTCACATCAGCAATTGAGGAGAGTTCCCCTTCCTCCACATCCTCTCCAGCATAAACTAAAAACTGTGATTTTTGATCTTATACATTCTGAAAGGTGTAAGATGGAATCTGAAAGTAGTTTTGATTTGTTATTTCCATGATAGCTAAGGATGTAGAACATTTCCTTAAGTGTTTCTAAGACATTTGAGATTCTTCTATTGAGAATTCTGTTTAGATCAGTACCACAGTGTTTAATTGGATTATTTGGCTTGTTGATGTCAGATTTCTTGGTTTTATTTTTTTGCTGTTATTTGTTTTTTTTATATTAGCCCTCTGTCAGATGCAAAGTTGATGAAAATCTTCCCATTGGGTATACAAGCAGTATATACACAGCAGCTGCACATGCCCCCATTCACACCATCAGGATAAGGGCTCTTTCCCCTTACATCCAGCATTTGTTTTCTTGATGAGTCATTCTGACCTCTTGGAAAAGTTTTACATTTCCCTCATGGCTAAGGATGTTGAACACCTATAAGTATTTATTAGTCATGTGTACTTTTTTCTTTTGAGAATCATCTATTTAGTTAAAACATTTATTGACTAGATAATTTTGTTTATATAATCCAGGATCCCAGTTCAGGAGTTCTGTCATCAACAGTGGGTATGCGTTCCTACCTCAATTGATGTACTGAAGGTAATTCCCCAGAGGTGTGCCTAGAAGCCCACATCCCATCTTCTAGATTCTGTCAAATTGACAATATCAACCATCACATAAACTGCTCATTTTTATGTGGTTTATTTAAAAGTATTGGTTTATAATTGTTATTTATATATTATTAACATAATCCCAGATCATTTATATGATTCATAGGTTTTTAATATAATTTGTGTTGTCTTTTAGTCTTCTGATGGTATTTTTTCCTTCTTTCTTTCTTCCTTTCTTTCCTTCCCTTCCTCCATCCCTTCATTCCTTTATCTTTCTTCTGTAGTGTTTTATTATATGGCCCAGGCAGGCCTGGGGCTGGCTTTGTTATTGCATCTGCCTCCTAAGTGCTGCTATTATAGTTGTAAGCCACCACAACAAATATACTCATTGCCTTTTATTGTTGTTATAACAAAATGCTTGAGAAACCGAAGTTATTTATTTATTTATTTATTTACTTATTAGTTCAAATTAGGAACAAGCTTGCTTCACATGTCAATCCCTTTTCCTTCTCCAACCCTTCACCCAACCCTCCCCCCAAGCCCCCCACCTGCTCCCCACCCCATCCACCCTCCACTCTCCAGGGAGGGTAGGGCCCTCAATGTGGGATCCCCAAAGTCCACCACATCATCCTGAACCAGACCTAGGCCCTGCCCCGTGTGTCCAGGGCAAGAGAACATCCCTTCATGAGAGATGGGCTCTCAGAGACCCTTCTTACACCAGGGAAAAAATACTGATTCACCACCAGGGGCACCATAGAGTGCCGAGGCTTCCTCATTGACATCCATGTTCAGGGGTCTGGATCAGTCCACTGCTGGCTTCCCAGACATCAGTCTGGGGTCCATGTGCTCCCCTTTGTTCAGGTCAGCTGTTTCTGTGGGTTTCACCAGCATGGTCTCGACCCCTTGGTTCTTCATTCCTCCCTCTCTGAAACTGGGTTCCAGAGTTCAGTTCAGTGTGTATCTGTGGGTCTCTGCATCTGCTTCCATCAGCCACTTAATGAGGGCTTTGGGATGGCATATAAAGTAGTCATCAGTCTCATCATAGGGGAAGGGCATTTAGGTTATCCTCTCCACCATTGCCTAGATTGTCAGTTGGCGTCATGCTTGTAGATCTTTGGAAATCTCCTTAGTGCCAGATATCTCCTGGACCTAAATGGCTCCCTCTGTTACGGTTTCTTTCATCCTGCTCTCTTCTATTCTTCCCCCAACTCAACATTTCTGGTCCTCCATTTCTTCTTCTCCTCCCCTCTTCTCCTCCTCTCATTCTGGCAGCTCCCTGTCCCCTACCCTCATGCTCCCAATTAGCTCAGGAGATCCTGCCTCTTCCCATTCTCCGGGGTCCTTGCATTTTTCTCTTAGAGTCCTTCATGTTTCCTAGTTTCCTTGGTGAAGAGGATTATAGGCTGGTAATCCTTTGCTCTATGTCTAAAATTCATATATGAGTGAGTACATACCATGTTTGACTTTTTTGACTGGTTTACCTCACTCAGGATGGTTTCTTCTAGTTCCATCCATTTGCCTGCAAATTTCAAGATTCTATTGCTTTTTTCTGCTGAGTAGTACTCCATTGTGTAAATGTACCACATTTTCTCTATCCATTATTCA